TACAAATATATGTACACACACAACATACAATTATGTGTACACACACAACATACAAATATATGTACACACACAACATTAAAAAATATGTTCACACAGAAAATTCTTTTTTAAGTACACACACACACACACACACACACACACACACAAACTTTCGCATATAAGTACACACACACAACATTCACATATAAGTACACACACACACACAACATTCACATATAAGTGCACACACACACACACACACACACAACATTCGCATATAAGTACACACACACACACAACATTCACTTGGACAATAGGCGATATACACATATGCCCACACAACATGAAATGCGAATATTCGCGCAGTCAAAAGGTTAACTGTTTATTTGTTGTTAAAAACGTATACCAGCTTTCAATAACATGTTTCCTCTTTTTGTGGTCTGTATCGAAGAGATTTTACCAAAATATTTTTTTGTTCATGTCAAAATTCGATTAAATTGCCGAGAATTTTTTTAGACATACAGAATTTTCAAACGAAGGCTTAATTTGATCAGAGCTCTAATTCATCCTTCACCCTTCCCCCCCCCTTTTTCAAGAAAAAAAATAAAAACTTACAAAAGAGGAAAAATTTCTAAACTAAAAATGAATTCGAACATCTCTCTCTCTCCCCACACAAAAAAGAATATTGCATTTTCCTTTGCAATGAAAGCTGATGAATCCTCTTTCAGGAATGTTGATCCTCTTTCCAGTTCAACAAATGTTATAGAATGATAACACATGTTTTGCTCTATTGGAACAAACTATTGCTAACCAACTATTGCAATCAGCAATGTCTATCAACTATGGGAAATGGACACTGTTAGCAACTGCTGCAACCAGGAATTTGCAACATTATAATTATTCCTGGCAATCTGAGACACCATCACGTTTAAACGTCGCTAATGTGTGGGTTTTATAATTTAGAAACTGATAACAAATATTCTGATGGCATAATGCAAATTATTGAGAGCTAGTTACCCGATTTAAACAATAAAGGAAGATAAGTAAAGGTGTCTGAGATAACTTCGTTAGATGAGAGAAGTTGATTCTCAACCCAATCACCAGAAAACATATGAAGTGAAGACATTTCGGGCCGTCCTGGACCGTTATCAAGTGGTGACAAGGAAAAAGTTGTAGGAAAAATAATATATGTGTGTGTGTGTGTGTGTGTGTGTGTGTGTGTGTGTGTGTGTGTGTGTGTGTGTGTGTGTGTATGTGTGTGTGTGTGTGTGTGTGTGTGTGTGTGTGTGTGTGTGTGTGTGTGTGTGTGTGTGTGTGTGTGTGTGTGTGTGTGTGTGTGTGTGTGTGTGTGTGTGTGTGTGTGTGTGTGTGTGTGTGTGTGTGTGTGCGTGTATGTGTGTTTACTAGTTGTGTTTACTAGTTGTGTTTTGCGGGGGATGAGCTTTGCTTTTTCGGCCCGCCTCTCAACTGTCAATCAACTGTTTACTAACTACTTTTTTTTTTTTTTCCAACACCACACACACACACCCCAGGAAGCAGCCCGTGACAGCTGACTAACTCCCAGGTACCTATTTACTGCTAGGTAACAGGGGCACTTAGGGTGAAAGAAACTTTGCCCATTTGTTTCTGCCTCGTGCGGGAATCGAACCCGCGCCACAGAATTACGAGTCCTGCGCGCTATCCACCAGGCTACGAGACCCCACAGTGTGTGTGTGTGTGTGTGCGTGCGTGTGTGTGCGTGTGTGTGTGTGTGCGTGCGTGTGTGTGCGTGTGTGCGTGTGTGTGCGTGCGTGCGTGTGTGTGTATGTGTGTGTGTGTGTGTGGAATATTTTTAGTTTCAGCCAAGTTATTGTGTTCTCATGTCTTTAATCACAAGATTTAACAATCACTATTCAGAAACATACTATTGCTCCAACTCCTTGGATAAATATTACCTTGACGATGATAATATTTCTGCGCCAGAGTTCCAATCCCCTCCCCCCCCCTCAAAAAAAAAAATTCTTAAGTCAGGCCGGCAGGAGGTTACCCTTCTTCTCTGTACTGTGTGCATCTTACTTCATGAACCTGTTATTAAAATTATTATTATTCAAAGAAATTACACCAAAGTTATGTGTACCAAAGTGGGGAGAGGGGGAGGGTTAACGAGTGCTGCATGGAGGGAGGGAGGGAGTTCGTTGATCGGTGTTTCGAGTCACCTCATTGCTCCTATTTTCTCGTTGTTGTTGTTACTGGGACGCACAATTCTGCCTGGGGGTGGGGAACGCTGCCCGGGGACGCTGAGGTAGGACAGGGAAAGCTTCGTTACACAGAACCAAACAAGGCAGTTAGTTGTGATGAGTGAACATGTTCAGAGTGATAGGAGAGGTGGAGCATGTTAAAGTTGATAAGAATGAGCGTGTTAGCAGTGATAAGAGTGAGCGTGTTAGCAGTGATAAGAGTGAGCGTGTTAGCAGTGATAAGAGTGAGCGTGTTAGTAGTGATAAGAGTGAGCGTGTTAGCAGTGATAAGAGTGAGCGTGTTAGCAGTGATAAGAGTGAGCGTGTTAGCAGTGATAAGAGTGAGCGTGTTAGCAGTGATAAGAGTGAGCGTGTTAGCAGTGATAAGAGTGAGCGTGTTAGCAATGATAAGAGTGGTGGAGCATGTTAAAGTTGATAAGAGTGAGTATGTTAGCAGTGATAAGAGTGAGAATGTTAGCAGTGATAAGAGTGAGAATGTCAGCAGTGATAAAAGTGAGAATGTTAGCAGTGATAAGAGTGAGCATATTAGCTGTGATAAGAGTGAGAAAGTTAGCAGTGATAAGAGTGAGAATGTTAGTAGTGATAAGAGTGAGAATGTTAGCAGTGATAAGAGTGAGAATGTTAGCAGTGATAAGAGTGAGAATGCCAGCAGTGATAAAAGTGAGAATGCCAGCAGTGATAAGAGTGAGAATGTCAGCAGTGATAAGAGTGAGAATATCAGCAGTGATAAGAGTGAGAATGTTAGCAGTGATAAGAGTGAGAATGTTAGCAGTGATAAGAGTGAGAATGTTAGCAGTGATAAGAGTGAGAATGCCAGCAGTGATAAGAGTGAGAATGCCAGCAGTGATAAGAGTGAGAATGTCAGCAGTGATAAGAGTGAGAATGTCAGCAGTGATAAGAGTGAGAATGTCAGCAGTGATAAAAGTGACAGAGAGGATATTTACAGTGAAAATCGAGACCGAGCGAGTTAATTCTTGATTACGACTCATAATGCTCGCAGCAGTCACCAGACCGTACAAGATTATGACTCATAATGCTCGCAGCAGTCACCAGACCGTACAAGATTACGACTCATAATGCTCGCAGCAGTCACCAGACCGTACACGATTATGACTCATAATGCTCGCAGCAGTCACCAGACCGTACAAGATTATGACTCATAATGCTCGCAGCAGTCACCAGACCGTACAAGATTACGACTCATAATGCTCGCAGCAGTCACCAGACCGTACAAGATTACGACTCATAATGCTCGCAGCAGTCACCAGACCGTACAAGATTATGACTCATAATGCTCGCAGCAGTCACCAGACCGTACAAGATTACGACTCATAATGCTCGCAGCAGTCACCAGACCGTACAAGATTATGACTCATAATGCTCGCAGCAGTCACTAGACCGTACAAGATTACGTAACACTATTTAAAGGGGCACTAACCAGTGCCAGGCCAGGGGAGGGGGAAATGGTGGGGAGAACTGGGAGACAGGGGAATGTTGCTGTGGCTCAGCAACACAGGTGCGTTGCTGTGACACAGCAACATTCCCCTTTCTCCCAGTTCTCCCTACCATTCCCCCCCCCCCTCTAATGTCCCTCTCGTTCTCCCAACCGTTCCCTACTCCCCTGTCCCTTTGTGATCTCTACCATTCCCCTCCCCCATCCCCTTGTCCTCCCCACCAGTACACCCTCCTTTGTCCCTTCGTCCTCCTCACCATCTCCAATTCCCCAATATTAATCTGTTGTATCAGTACATGCAACAGATGGCGCTGTTTTTCAAAAAAGTATGTTTTTACCTGTCACAGGTGTGGCATCTATATAGTAGGTATATAAAAACACGCATGTATTCGAATGGATCGTTGTGTCAAAATTTCAAAGCAATCAGAAAAGAACTTTTGGAGATTACAGTGTATGCTGCTCTTACGCAGAACAGATGGTGCTGTTTAAAATAAAAAATAGTTTTTTTTCATGTATCCGATGGGGCATGTATGTAGTAGATATATAAAAACACGCGTCTATTCGAATGCATCGTTGTGTCAAAATTTCCAAGCAATCAGTGAAGAGGTTTCGAAGATTTCCCTCACATGAGAAACACATGAAAAAACACAGTTTTGAAAAAAAATGTTTTTTTCCTGTCACAGACGTGACATCTATATAGTGGGTATATATAAACCTGCTCGGATGCTAATGGAACGTTGTGTGAAAATTTCAAAGCAATCGGTGAAGAACTTTCGGAGATTAGTGATTTTGAACAATCGAACATTTACATTTTTATTTATATAGATTAGAACGTTGTTACTTCTTGTTATAACGTTTTTATTACATATTAGAACTTGGTATAACCCCCCTTCTTCTTGGTATGTCCCCCTTGCTTCTTGGTATGTCCCCCTTGCTTCTTGGTATGTCCCCCTTGCTTCTTGGTATGTCCCCCTTGCTTCTTGGTATGTCCCCCTTGCTTCTTGGTATGTCCCACTTGCTTCTTGGTATGTCCCCCTTGCTTCTTGGTATGTCCCCCTTGCTTCTTGGTATGTCCCCTTGCTTCTTGGTATGTCCCCCTTGCTTCTTGGTATGTCCCCCTTGCTTCTTGGTATGTCCCCCTTGCTTCTTGGTATGTCCCCCTTGCTTCTTGGTATGTCCCCCTTGCTTCTTGGTATGTCCCCCTTGCTTCTTGGTATGTCCCCTTGCTTCTTGGTATGTCCCCCTTGCTTCTTGGTATGTCCCCCTTGCTTCTTGGTATGTCCCCCTTGCTTCTTGGTATGTCCCCCTTGCTTCTTGGTATGTCCCCCTTGCTACTTGGTATGTCCCCCTTGCTTCTTGGTATGTCCCCCTTGCTTCTTGGTATGTCCCCCTTGCTTCTTGGTATGTCCCCCTTGCTTCTTGGTATGTCCCCCTTGCTTCTTGGTATGTCCCCCTTGCTTCTTGGTATGTCCCCCTTGCTTCTTGGTATGTCCCCCTTGCTTCTTGGTATGTCCCCCTTGCTTCTTGGTATATCCCCCTTGCTCCTTGGTATATCCCCCTTGCTTCTTGGTATATCCCCCTTGCTTCTTGGTATGTCCCCCTTGCTTATTGGAATGTTCCCCTTGCTTCTTGTTATGTCCCCCTTGCTTCTTGGTATATCCACTTTGCTTCTTGGTATATCCCCCTTGCTTCTTGGTATATCCCCCTTGCTTCTTGGTATATCCCCCTTCCGTCTTGGTATGTCCCCCTTGCTTCTTGGTATATCCCCCTTGCTCCTTGGTATATCCCCCTTGCTTCTTGGTATATCCCCCTTGCTTCTTGGTATGTCCCCCTTGCTTATTGGAATGTTCCCCTTGCTTCTTGTTATGTCCCCCTTGCTTCTTGGTATATCCACTTGCTTCTTGGTATATCCCCCTTGCTTCTTGGTATATCCCCCTTGCTTCTTGGTATATCCCCCTTCCGTCTTGGTATGTCCCCCTTGCTTCTTGGTATATCCCCCTTGCTCCTTGGTATATCCCCCTTGCTTCTTGGTATATCCCCCTTGCTTCTTGGTATGTCCCCCTTGCTTATTGGAATGTTCCCCTTGCTTTTTGTTATGTCCCCCTTGCTTCTTGGTATATCCACTTTGCTTCTTGGTATATCCCCCTTGCTTCTTGGTATATCCCCCTTGCTTCTTGGTATATCCACCTTGCTTCTTGGTATATCCCCCTTGCTTCTTGGTATATCCCCCTTGCTTCTTGGTATGTCCCCCTTGCTTTTTGGTATGTCCCCCCTTGCTTCTTGGTATGTCACCCTTGCTTATTGATATGTCCCCCTTGCTTCTTGGTATGTCCCCGCTGCTTCTTGGTATATCCCCCTTGCTTCTTGGTATATCCCCCTTGGCTTCTTGGTATATCCCCTTGGCTTCTTAGTATATCGCCTTTGCTTCTTGGTATGTCCCCCTTGCTTCTTGGTATATCCCCCTTGGCTTCTTGGTATATCCCCTTGGCTTCTTAGTATATCGCCTTTGCTTCTTGGTATATCCCGTTGCTTCTTGGTATGTCCCCCTTGCTTCTTGGTATATCTCCCTTGGCTTCTTGGTATATCGCCTTTGCTTCTTGGTATATCGCCTTTGCTTCTTGGTATATCGCCTTTGCTTCTTGGTTTGTCCTCTCTCCCCTTCCCGCTGCAAACTATGCCCGTCTTGCCCTCTAGAATGTTATCTACCTTCCTGCTACCTTGGTCGTTGTATGCTGCAATATAAACACTTGCTATGTTCCAGGACAAGCTTATTCTGCATTAATTAAACAGTTTGCGTGAGTGTAAGCTCTCGCCACCATGGTGATTATCAGTATAGATAAACCTGGTAGTAATCCCGTGCTCATAAATTATTTAATAGTTCCAAACAACGCTACCATGGATGGGGGGGGGGGGTGGACAGATTTGCATGTTTAGGTGGACAGTTGATTGCATGATTGAACCCGTGCCGTGATTCTTGGAATTATGAGTTCTTCTGCACTTAGCCTTTTTTTTTATATTGGTGCTAACTAAGTCTCTTTCTAACATCTCGTTATTGTTCTCTGAAGACATATATATTGTTTAACCTTTTTCTGGTTAACTTTTCCTATGGAGCAATAGCAAAAGCTTTGTTATGGTTAAAAAGACTCACTGGAACTACCTTGATTATTCGCTTCATTTATTATATAACTAGTTGGGTTCCCCGGCGGTACCCGGGTCGGTGTGGCGGGTCCCAGGTCTCCCGCACGCACCTTAACTGTAATTGTCCTCAGTAACTGTCTCCCAACACTTTAATGTTTCCCATCACTGTAACCATCTCCCATCATTGTAACGTTTCCCATCACTGTAAAGTTTCCCAACACTGTAACCATCTCCCATCACTGTAACGTCTCCCATCACTGTAACTATCTCCCATCACTGTAACTATCTCCCATCTCTGTAACCATCTCCCATCACTGTAACTATCTCCCATCACTTTAACTATCTCTCATCACTGTAACGTCTCCCATCACTGTAACTATCTCCCATCACTGTAACTATCTCCCATCACTGTAACTATCTCCCATTACTGTAACTATCTCGCATCACTGTAACTATCTCCCATCACTGTAACTATCTCCCATCACTGTAACTATCTCCCATCACTGTAACTATCTCACAACACTGTAACTATCTCCTATCACTGTAACTATCTCCTATCACTTTAACTATCTCCCATCACTGTAACTGTTTCCCATCACTGTAACTATCTCCCATCACTGTAACTATCTTCCATCACTAACTATCTCCCATACTGTAACTATCTCCCATCATTGTAACTATCTCTCATCATAGTAACTATCTCCTATGACTGTAACTATCTCCTATGACTGTAACTATCTCCATAACTGTAACTATCTCCCATCACTGTAACTATCTCACAACACTGTAACTATCTCCCATCACTTTAACTATCTCCCATCACTGTAACTATCTCACAACACTGTAACTATCTCCCATCACTGTAACTATCTCACAACACTGTAACTATCTCCCATCACTTTAACTATCTCCCATCACTGTAACTATGTCACACTACTGTAACTATTTCCCATCACTGTAACTATCTTCCATCACTGTAACTATCTCCCATCACTGTAACTATCTCCCATCACTGTAACTATCTCCCATCACTGTAACTGTTTCCCATCACTGTAACTATCTCCCATCACTGTAACTATCTCCCATCACTGTAACTATCTCCCATCACTGTAACTATGTCACACCACTGTAACTATGTCACACTACTGTAACTATTTCCCATCAATTTAACTATCTCCCATCATTGTAACTATGTCCCATCACTCTAACTATCTCCCATCACTGTAGCTATCTCCCATCACTGTAACTATCTCCCATCACTGTAACTATCTCGCATCACTGTAACTATCTCCCATCACTGTAACTGTCTCCCATCACTATAACTATCTCCTATCACTGTAACTATCTCCAATCACTGTAACTATCTCCCATCACTGTAACTATCTCCTATCACTGTAACTATCTCCTATCACTTTAACTATCTCCCATCACTGTAACTGTTTCCCATCACTGTAACTATCTCCCATCACTGTAACTATCTCCCATCACTGTAACTATCTTCAATCACTGTAACTATCTCCTATCACTGTAACTATCTCCCATCACTGTAACTATCTCCTATCACTATTACAATCTCCCATCACTGTAACTATCTCATATCACTGTAACTATCTCCTATCACTGTAACTATCTCCCATCACTGTAACTATCTCCCATCACTGTAACTATCTCCTATCACTGTAACTATCTCCCATCACTGTAACTATCTCCCAGCTCTCTTCTACACTCTCAAAAACCGCGAGATTTTTGGGAGAGGAAGTCATTAACCAAACGTCATTCACTCACATTCATTCAAACTTTGGTCATTCACCAAACACCAAAGGCAGGCACACATACACACACACACACACACACACACACAACACACACACACACACACAACACACACACACACACACACACACACACACACACACACACACACACACACACACACACACACACACACACACACACACACACACACACACACACACACACACAAACAAAGCACCCTTAGGAATGGGTGATCACAGTGTATTGATCTGTGAGTACCTGGTAGAGCTAGGACTTATCTCCCCCCAAAAAGAACTAGAAAACAAAAGACTGGCATACTTAAAGGGGAATTATGAGGGGATGAGAAGTTTCTTAAGGGATATACCATGGGACACAGACCTCAGAGTTAAGTCGGTACAAGACATGATGGACTATGTCACCCAAAAGTGTCAGGAGGCAGTAAACAGGTTTCTCCCGGCCCAAAGGGAAAAATCCGAGAAGCAAAAGAAGAATCCATGGTTTAACAGGGCATGTATGGAAGCATACATGTTTCATGAACGCAAGAGCGTGGAGAAACTTCCGAAATAACAGAACACCAGAAAGCGGAGAAAGAGATACCAGAGATCCAGGAATGAGTATGTTATTGTGAGAAGGGAAGCAGAGAAAAATAATGAAAATGATAGAGCAAGCAAAACCAAGACCGATCCGAAGCTACTCCACAGTCATATCAGGAGGAAGACAGCAGTGAAAGAACAGGCGAGGACAGGTATACAGAGAATGACAAAGAGGTGTGCGAGGAACTTAACAAGAGGTTCCAGGATGTCTTCACAGTAGAACATGGTGAGGCCACTGCGCTAGGAGAGGAGGCAGTTTACCAGGCGGCCTTGGAAGGGTTCGAAATTACGAAAGATGAGGTCAATAGACACATGTTTGATCTGGATGTGAGAAAGGTTGTGGGTCCAGACGGGATATCACTGTGGGTATTGAAAGAGTGTGCAGAGGCACTCTGCTTGCCACTCTCTGTATTGTATAGTAGGTCACTGGAGACGGGAGACCTACCAGAAATATGTAAGGCGGCTAATGTGGTCCCAATATACAAAAAGGGTGACAGACAAGAGGCACTGAACTACAGGCCAGTGTCCTTAAATTGTATACCATGCAAAGTGATGGAGAAGATCATGAGAAAAAATCAAGTAACACATCTGGAAAGAAGGGACTTCGTGACTAATCGCCAACATGGGTTCAGGGAGGGTAAATCTTGCCGTACAGGCTTAATAGAATTCTACGATCAGGTGACATAGATTAAACAAGAAAGAGAAGGCTGGGCAAACTGCATTTTTTTGGACTGTCGGAAAGTCTTTGATACAGTCACCCATAAGAGGCTGGTACATAAGCTGGAGAGACAGGCAGGAGTAACTGGTTAAGTGCTCCAGTGGATAAGGAAATACGTAAACAATAGGAAGAAAAGAGTTACGGTGAGGGGTAAGACCTCAGATTGGCGTGAAGTCAACAGTAGAGTTCCACAGGGCTCTGGTCCCGGTCCTATCATGTTTCTGATATACGTGAACGATCTACCGGAGGGTATAGACTTATTCCTCTCAATGTTTGCTGACGATGCCAAAATTATGAGAAGGATTAAGACAGAGGAGGACTACTTGAGGCTTCAAGAAGACCTAGACAAACTAAAGGAATGGTCGAACAAATGGTTGTTAGAGTTTAACCCAAGCAAATGTAATTTAATGAAGATAGGTGTTGAGAGCAGGAAGCCAGTTACAAGGTATCATTTGGGTGATGAAATTCTACACGAGTCAGAGAGAGAAAGACCTGGGGGTTGATATCACGCCAAACCTGTCCCCTGCAGCCCATATCAAGGGGATAACAGCAGCAGCATATGCCAGGTTGGCTAACATAACATCGGCATTTAGACACTTGTGCAAGGAATCGTTCAGAACTTTGTATACCTTGAGGCTACCTTGAGGTGCTTCCGGGGCTTAGTGTCCCCGCGGCCCGGTCGTCGACCAGGCCTCCTGGTTGCTGGACTGATCAACCAGGCTGTTAGACGCGGCTGCTCGCAGCCTGACGTATGAGTCACAGCCTGGTTGATCAGGTATCCTTTGGAGGTGCTTATCCAGTTCTCTCTTGAACACTGTGAGGGGTTTGCCAGTTATGTCCCTTATGTGTAGTGGAAGCGTGTTGAACAGTCTCGGGCCTCTGATGTTGATAGAGTTCTCTCTCAGAGTACCTGTTGCACCTCTGCTTTTCAACGGGGGTATTCTGCACATCCTGCCATGTCTTCTGGTCTCATGTGGTGTTATTTCTGTGTGCAGGTTTGGGACCAGCCCCTCAATTATTTACCACCTATGTTAGACCAATCCTGGAGTATGCAGCCCCAGCATGGAGTCCATATCTAGTTAAGCATAAGAGCAAACTAGAAAAAGTTGAACGGTTTGCCACCAGACTAGTACCCGGGGTGAGTGGTATGAGCTACGAGGAGAGACTACAGGAATTAAACCTCACGTTGCTAGAAGACCGAAGAGTTAGGGAGGATATGATCACCACGTACAAGATTCTCAGAGGAATTGACAGGGTAGATGGAGACGGGCTATTTAACATAAGGGGCACAAGCACTAGGGGACACAGGTGGAAACTGAGTGCCCAAATGAGCCACAGAGACATTAGAAATATTTTTTTTAGTGTCAGAGCAGTTGACAAATGTAATGCATTAGGCAGTGATGTGGTGGAGACTGACTCCATACACAGTTTCAAGTGTATATGATAGGGCCCAATAGGCTCAGTAACCTGTACACCAGTTGATTGACAGTTGAGAGGCGGGACCAAAGAGCCAGAGCTCAACCCCCGCAAGCACAAATAGGTGAGAACAAACAGGTGAGTACACAACACACACACACACAGGCTGGATGACCTCGGTCACACATGGGTCGCTGGCTGACATTAGAACGTTGTTTTGAAACCTAAATCGGGACACTTTTTATTGTTTCAAGGCCCATTCCATAGCCTTTGCTTGACCAATCCTGGAATATGCAACACCGGCCAGGATTTCACACTATGTGAAGCACTGAACTAAAATTGGACAAAAAGCACACAGGTTTGCGACTAGATTCGTCATAAAGCTGAAAGGTTAAAATATGAGGTTAGTCTGAAGGAGCTGAGGCCTCACAGTCTTGCAGGACAGATGAAACATATGATTACAACATTCAAGATACTAAATTAAATTGAAAGGGTTTACAGGGATAGGTTTATTAAATTGAGAAACAGGAGGACACAAATGTAAACTATAAAAAAATGAGTCTATGTAAAGAAATACGATACTACAATGGAACGAGCGGTCAACTAGTGGAATGCACAAGAAGAAGAATCAGAAGTAGAAGTTTTGAGAATCTTCTCCATCCACAACATTAAGGATAGATTAGACAAAGATTTTAAACATAAAAAATAGTTAGCCTATAACACAGCGCGTACAACAAGATGGTAAGTTGGGGGCAAAACAGACCTAGACTTCATTCCCCCCCCCCCATTGTCAGTGATAGGTAAGTACTGAGAGGTAAAAACAGCCCCCCATTCCCCCCCCCCCCCCCCCACACACGTTCCATGTCTCTCCCTATTCCCTCCCCTTCATCCCCAACCCCTCACGACACACCAACCTTAACCCCCCTCTCCCCTCACACACACACACACACAAACACCTTCCCCGTCTACACGGTATACATACCATGATATACATATATGCATACCTCGGTATTCATATCTGTACTTTACAATACACACCACACAGGAATACAATCCTGTACATGTGTCTCGTGTGGGTATCAATGCATATTTTGCTTGACATTTGCCTCACCTGCAACGAGAACCTTGACTCAGTACAATCTGTGACAGACTGAAGATGGGCGCAAGAAGTGAATCTTGTAAAAGGGGGAAGGAAAAACAAGTAACAATTCGTCGACTTTAGAGTTTCATGTCACAATCAAATTTATCGACTTCAAGGTTGTTCCTTTCAATCTGACTGAGTGACCTATTTAACCCTTTCGCAATATACTTAGCTCCAGGGGCCAGGGAGCATTAACCCTTTCACATTGTACTATAACCAGTCGTCATTTGGGGGTCAGGTAACTTTATCCGTTCATCAATATGTTTAGTCTCTGGGGACAGTGAACTTTAACTCTTTCACATTATCCTTTGACCCAGTGAAGGGGAACTCTTAACCCTTTCACATTATTCTTAGACCCTTGAGTAGGGTATTTTAACCTCTATACATGACATCTAGACCCCGGAGTTGGCCACTTTAAACTCTTCTCATGACACTTGGAACCTGAGAAAGGCAACTTTAACCTCTTCACATGAAACTCAGTCCCTGGGGCGGGCCACTTTAACCCCTTCACCTTACAATGAGACCCGGGAGGCTATCGCCGGCGACCGTCAAAGTTAACAAAGAGAATAATAAAAGTTTTTGGCGATAATGAAGAGTATATAATTAACACAACACTTTATCTTACGTGATTTTGTTGCCTTGACAATGACCTTCTATACGGGAGTCGAGTCATCAGCAACTAAATTACACATCTCGAAAATGAGTTGAAAACCTCGCCCAAAAACTTATCAATACAACAGAATATACCTGTGTGTGTCTGATATACATATGGATAGTGCGGAGTAGGTGTATAGCTAAATTATGCGTTGGTCTTCAAGTTCAAGCTCCTGGTCACAGGCTTTCTCGAATGATTATTTTTTTTTTATTAAATATAGTAACTATGTTCAAATCTCATCTCGAGGGTCAACAGACGGTGATCAATATGCTTCCTGTTGCCACGCTTCGAATATCAACCAACGACGTTATATTTGCTAATTATTTTCTCGCTTAAACGATTAATAAATGTCCTCCAATTCACTTAACGTTTTATGGGTTTAAAAGCCAACATCAGCGTCAGCGTCAACAATCAGCGTCGTATTCGCTGATATTTCCAGGTATCGACGGTCAACGCGTACAGTCGCGTTGACCGTCGTTGTGGCTGGTACTACCTGTACCCGCCACGCGTGGCTGAGGCTCAGACTAGTTAAATGAAAAAGAATGAAAAGAGAAACCGCACGTTTCTAACACGTTTAATGCAGGCGATGAGTCACAATAACGTGGCTGAAGTATGTTGACCAGACCACACACTAGAAGTTGAAGGGACGACGACGTTTCGGTCCGTCCTGGACCATTCTCAAGTCGACGTGAGAATGGTCCAGGACGGACCGAAACGTCGTCGTCCCTTCAACTTCTAGTGTGTGGTCTGGTCAACAACATGTTTAATTTCACAATGCTTGTGGGTATACAATATTTTTTCTTGTTCCACTGTCTGTGAAGATATAGAGATTGTCTGATTGCCGACTCTAGAACCCACAACATATATTTATCCATGTGAGAAGCAATCCGTGTCTAGATATAAAACGCACAATTCTAAAGATTGGCCCTGAGCTTTGTTGATGGTAATTGCAAACGCCAATCGAATTAGGAACTACAACCTCTTAAAATTAAATGGCAAATCGGTTGAAATCACAGGAATGTGAGAAATGAGGACATCTTCACCTTTGAAAGGTCCTGTCAAGATGGTTGCTTCTACGACGTTGTTGAATAATTTTTTACTGCAAGCCGCGTGCCGTTGCTAAGCTTTCGCTGGTTGATATTTCGCAAAATGATAATTGGCACGCCGATTTTCAATTGCAGTTCGTGCGGTGGTATCCCTGGCAGATAGAGTGAATTAAAAAATCTTGTTGGGTAATTAACCGCTTCATCTGCTTCCTCAACAGTGGAATACAACGGAATTGTATGTGACTGCCTTGATTTGAATGTTAGATTGAATAATATTGTTAAGTTCTTAAACGTCATGATTCTTGGCCGCAAGAACAGCTCGTTCACTCAGCCAATCGTGATTCTTATAATTGGTTTGAATATTGGAAAATACTTTTTCAGCCAATACTTCTTTGGACGTCACTAAATTGTAGAAGTTATGAGGCAATGAAATTCGTCCTGAGGTCAGATCAACCAGCACGTTTACGTTACCAATTTCCAGAAATGGGTGTGAGAATATATCAGCTGATGAGTCGTTTTGCAGTTGAACACGCATATTTGTAGTTAATTTTAACATCGTTACGTGGCGCCAAAAAGTAGAGTATTTCAGGCGAGCATTTATTTCGTCCGCTGGTGTCGGTAAGGTCTGATGGTGTAGTGGGTTAAAGCATACTAGTTATGCCAGCTACTGGAAGGTAGTTGTGCTTTCTGGGTTCGAGTCCCACTGGTGGGTGTTGTCCAAAGATTATTAATCTTCACTTGTGGTTTATGCAAGTATAGGCTTATAAGCTGGACACGAGTTCTCTCACATTGACAGTGGCTTGATGGAAAATGCAGACTGACCCCACACTCATCTGGTGCCTTCGGGAAGTGGAGATGTTTGGGATATATATCTCGAACTATCTACTTCTTTTGTAAGGTCTGATGGTGTAGTGGGTTAAAGCATACTAGTTATGCCAGCTACTGGAAGGTAGTTGTGCTTTCTGGGTTCGAGTCCCACTGGTGGGTGTTGTCCAAAGATTATATATATATATATATATTTTATTAACTTTTATTAAACTATCATATCACCCAGAAACTGAATATCTACTGAATCGGGAAGGGACTTCATTTTACAAGTCTTGAATATGAACTCCGTGCTGTAAGACTGGCTAAGTGTAATTCTATATTGTGAAGATAAAAGTTTACTAATGATGCGGCATTATTAATGTTGACGTCACTGGCCCTCTCAGATCTGTCTGAAGGGTTCCTTGTGTTTGTTTGTTTATTATCTTCTGTCTGTCTGTCTGTCTGTCTGTCTGTCTGTCTGTCTGTCTGTCTGTCTGTCTGTCTGTCTGTCTGTCTGTCTCTCTCTCTCTCTCTCTCTCTCTCTCTCTCTCTCTCTCTCTCTCTCTCTCTCTCTCTCTCTCTCTCTCTCTCTCTCTCTCTCTCTCTCTCTCTCTCTCTCTCTCTCTCTCTCTCTCTCTCTTCCTCTCTCTCTCTCACTCTCACTCTTTCTCTTTCTCTCTCTCTGCCCCCCCCCCCCTCTGCTTTACCCTACAAAACATATGAGGGAAAGGGACAATATGATAGGAGGAAGGAACAGGGACACAGGGAATAGTCAGAGTGGTCAAACGAAGGAAATATTAGCCCAAGTTTTGGAGGAGTTCCGGAGGGAGATGCATGAAATGAGGTTTACAATTAACAACCTGCAAAGTGACCTGACATCAGGAAAGAAGGAGATCAAATCCCTCACAGAGAAAAATAAAGAGGCTGAGCAACAGATTATCATCCAAAGGGAAGGTGGGTGATTGCATTGGAAGGAAATGCCTCTGTACCTGAAACATTTGCGGACATACTGAGAAAGAGCTCAGAAGCAATGGGCACAGTGAGGGAGGTAGCTATGCAAGCAGCTACCTTACAGGAAGCAGCAAGGTGCACCAGTCAGCTGCTGGAAAGAAAAAGATCAGTGGTAGTTGTAGGCATCAAAGAACAGGAAGGATCCAATAGGCAGGAATAGGCAGACAGAAAAGCAGTACATGGGATACTGAAGAGTTTACAGACGGAAGGGGCTGAACAAAACATTGAGAAGGTTTTCAGGTTGGGCTGGTACAACTAAGACCAAAACCGACTGGTAAAGGTGGTGTTTACAAACGAGACCACGACTGAGGTTATTCTAGAAAGGAAGAGTCGTCTGCAGTATGTGGATGAAGGAGGAGAGAGCTAGGGCAGCAAAGGCAAGGAGGAAGCGCAGAGAGAGAGGAGTAAACCAGGAAATCATAGCCCTCAAAACACTAGTCCCAGAAACAAGAGGGGATCCCACAACCCGCATCCCAGCAATACCAGAGGGGAGGGCAACTCCTCCACACCCTTCTGCATAGAAACCCTTTCTTCCCCTCACCCTACCTGTCGCCACTCAAATGCTCACCCAGCCCTCCCTCCCCCCCCACCCCATTCCGACCCCTGTCACCCCTCCCTCATTCCCACCATGTCCCCCTCCTGCCTTCCCCCCCTTCCTGGCACCCCTCCCTCTTCATCCCATACCCTCCCTATCCCTCCTTCCCCTTCACCCTGTATCCTCCATGTCCCCCTATCTCCTTACCCCATACCCTACCTGTCCCCCCTTCCTTTGAACCCCCTCCCCCCACCCCAAAATCCTCTGAAACCCTGCAAACCACCTCAAAGATCTTCTCACCCAGGGAACAGCTTTCCCCACCAGCTGAATGCTCACCAGGAAGGGGACAAGAAAATGAACAGGAGAAAGTGAGCTTCAAGGCAATGTACACTAACATAGATGGGATTACAAATAAAAGAAGTGAACTCAGAGAATAGGCACTGTAAGAAAACCCAAACATAATAGCACTCACAGAAACAAAGCTAACGAAAACCATAACATATGCAGTGTTTCCACAGGAAGACTATGTAGTGAGGAAAAAGAGAGAAGGGAGAGGAGGAGGTGGTGTAGCTTTGCTGATAAGAAAAGGATGGAGTATTGAAGAGATGGTTAACCAGAGCTGTGTAGGTTTCAGTGACAACATATCAGGCACCATAGCAACTGGAGGACAGAAAATTATAGTAGTAGTCATATAACCCTCCCCTCCCTCCCCCCCCCCCCCAAACGACAGAAGACCCAGACAGGAATATGATAGAAACAACTTGGCCACCATCAATATAATAGAGAGAGCAGCTTCTGTGGCTAGCAGGAACGGATCCAGACTACTAATCACGGGAGACTTCAACCACGGGAAGATAGATTGGGGGAAAAGAGACTCACATGGAGGACCAGACGCATGGAGAGCTAAGCTGCTGGATGTGGCAACAAGAAACTTTCTAAGTCAACACGTCAAGGGACCGACAAGAATGAGAGGAGGGGATGAACCAGCCTTGCTTGATCTGATATTTACCCTAAATGAGTGGGATATAAGGGAAATTAAGTTGGAAGCCCCCTTGGGAATGAGTGATCATAGTGTATTGAGCTTTGAGTACCTCGTTGAGCTAGGAATTATTACCCCCAAAAATGAACTGGGAAACAAAGGGCTGGCGTACCGAAAGGGAAACTATGAGGAGATGAATAAATTCCTTAGGGATATACATTGGAACACAGAACTCAGAACCAAGTCCGTACAAGACATGATGGACTATGTCACCCAAAAGTGTCACGAGGCGGTAAACAGGTTTATCCTGGTCCGACAGGAAAAAACCGAGAAGCAAAAGAAGAAACCGTGATTTAATAGGGAATGTATGAAAGTAAAGGGACTGAAAGAAATGGCGTGGAGGAACTTCCGTAATAACAGAACACCAGAAAGTAGGGAGAGAGATACCAGAGAACCAGGAACGAGTATGTTAGTGTGAGAAGAGCAGCTGAGAAAAGGTATGAAAATTATATAGCTAATACGGCCAAGACCGAACCAAAGCTTCTACACAGTCACATCAGGAGGAAAACAACAAAGAAAGGAACAGGTGATGAAACTTAGAACGGGAGAGGACAGGTACACAGAGAATGACAAATAGGTGTGTGAAGAACTCAACAAAAGATTCCAGGAGGTCTTTACAATAGAACAAGGAGAGGTCACGGCGCTAGCAGAGGTGGCAACAAAACAGGCGACTTGGAAGGGTTCGAAGTTACAAAAGATGGGGTCAAGAAGCACCTATTGGAGCTGGACGTGAGGAAGGCTGTTGGGCCGGACGAAATCTCACCATGGTTATTGAAAGAGTGTGCAGGAGCACTCTGTTTGACACTCTCCATAGTGTATAGTAGGTCACTGGAAACGGGAGACCTACCAGAAATATGGAAGACGGCTAATGTAGTCCCAATATACAAAAAGGGCGACAGACAAGTGGCACTGAACTACAGGCCAGTGTCCTTAACTTGTATACCATGCAAGGTGATGGAGAAGATCGTGAGAAAAACCTAGTAACACATCTGGAGAGAAGGGACTTCGTGACAACACATCAACATGGGTTCAGAGAGGTTAAATCTTGCCTTACAGACTAAATAGAATTCTACGATCAGGTGACAAAGATTAAGCAAGAAAGAGAAGGATTGAGCGGATTGCATTTTTTTGGACTGTCGGAAAGCTTTTGACACAGTACCCCATGAAGGCTGATTCATAAGCTGGAGAAACAGGCAGGAGTAACTGGTAGGGCGCTCCAGTGGATAAGGGAGTACCTAAGCAATAGGAAGCAGAGAGTTACAGTGAGGGGTGAGACCTCAGATTGGCGTGAAGTCACAAGTGGAGTCCCCACAGGGCTCTGTACTCGGACCTATCCTGTTTCTGATGTACGTAAATGATCTCCCAGAGGGTATAGACTCATTCCTCTCAATGTTTGCTGACGACGACAAAATTATAAGAAGGATTTAAGACAGAGGAGGACAGGTTGAGGCTTCCAGAAGACCTGGACAAGCTGCAGGAATAGTCGAACAAATGGTTGTTTGAGTTTAACCCAAGCAAATGTAACGTAATAAAGACAGGTGTAGGGAGCAGGAGACCAGATACAAGGTATCATTTGGGAGATGAAATTCTTCAAGAGTCAGAGAGAGAAAGACCTGGGGGTTGATATCATGCCAGACCTGTCCTCTGAAGCTCATATCAGGAGGATAACATCAGTGGCATATGCCAGGTTGGCTAACATAAGAACGGCCTTTAGAAACTTATGTAAGGAATATTTCAGAACATTATTTACCACATATGTCAGACCAATCCTGGAGTATGCGGCTCTAGCTCTAGAGTCCATATCTAGCCAAGAACACCACTAAACTGGAAAAAGTTCTAAGGTTTGCCTCCAGACTAGTACCTGAACTGAGGGGTATGAACTACGAGGAGAGACTACGGGAATTAAACCTCACGTCACCGGGAGACAGAAGAGTTACAGGGGACATGATCACCGCATACAAGATTCTCAGAGGAATTGATAGGGTAGATAAAGACAGACTTTTTAACACAAGGGGCACACGCACTAGGGGACACAGGTGGAAATTGAGTGCCCAAATGAGCCATAGAGACGTTAGAAAGATTTTTTTCAGTGTTAGGGTAGTAGACAAATGGAATGCACTAGGAAGTGATGTGGTTGCGGCTGACTCCATACACAATTCCAAGT